TTGGTTTAAGCCGTTTTAAGAGACGTACGGCTAAACCCGAATGTTTCTAGTTCTAAATCTAGTGTTAGTTAAAAATATATAACAACCTTACGCTGAATAACGATTAAAACTAGAACTAACACTTCTAGTTTTACACTAACACTGTTACTATGTAGAACTAAAACTATACCTAGAACTAGAATCATTTGAGTTTAGCCTCACATCTCTAATGATGCTTAAACCCGAATGATTCTAGTTGTAGGTATAGTGTTGGTTCTAGTTTTAATTGTTATGCAGTCTTCTGCCAGCAATAGTTACTTCTGCAAGCAATATCTAGTATTCTGTTACCAATATATCCTCTGCCAGCGGTGTCTAGTGTTTTGCAAACAGTATCTTATCTGCCATTAGCAATTTTTAGTTCTGTTTCACCCGTATTTAATTTTTCACCAGCAATATTTAGTCTTCTACTAGCAGTAGAGTTTTTCATTATCAATATATCCTTTTGCAGCAGTATCTACATACTTCTCCTCAAGCAGTATTTAGTTATGTCAACAGTATTTAATCTTCTGCCATCAGTAGCTAGACTTCTGGTCTTCTATTAATTAGTAGGAGATATTTTTCCGGAGGCAGTATATAGTTTTCCATTACCAATATTTAGTGCACCGTCAGCAGTATCTGGTCATCTATTAGCAGTATTTACTTTTTTAGTAGCATCTAATCTGCCAATTATAAATAAGATGACGAAAAGTGAGTGAAATGCGCTTGTAAGAGTTTTTAGTTATTTGCTTTATTTTTTCTTCTTAAAATTCTACTATAACTTAAATCAGTGCAAGAATCTTTATCAAGATCTTTCCCCTATCTCGACAAAAAGAGAGAAAATCAATATTTCAGCACAGAGAAAATAAATGAATATTTAACTCCGTGAATTAAACAGTATTTAATTTTCTGCTATCAGTAGCTAAACTTCTGGTCTTCTATTAGTAGGAGATATTCTTCTGGAGGCAGTATATAGTCTTCCATTAACAATATTTAGTGCACAGTCAGCAGTATCTGGTCATCTATTAGCAGTATTTAGTTCTTTATCAACATTATCTAATCTTTTGCCAATTATAAGATGACGAAAAGTAGGTGAAATGCGCTTGAAAGAGTTGTTAGTTATATTTTTTTTTATAAAAATACTTTAAAAAATTATTTTTTTTATCTTTTCTTCTTAAAATTTTGACTCTGCACCAATTGAATTCTTCCAGCGATAAATATCGTTTCAACCCAAATCTATATCTTGGGCACAAATGACCTCAGCTTAATTAGAAGAAGCAGATTCAATGAACCAAGCCGAGGTTGCTTGCGGCCAAAGCTACAACCTAACGCTGAATAACAATTAAAACTAGAACTAACAGTAGACCTAGAACAAGAAACATTCGGGTTTCTAGAAAACCTAGAAACCTGAACAATTCTAGTTCGAGGTCTAGTGTTAGTTCTAGTTTTACAGTAACGCTGTTACTATGTAGAACTAAAACTATACTTAGAACTAGAATCATTTGAGTTTAGCCACACGTTTCTAAAGATGACTAAACCCGAATGATTATAGGTATAGTGTTAGTTCTAGTTTTAATTGTTATGCAGCGCTAGATTGTTGCGTACATGGTCTTCTAGTAGCAGTATTTAGTCCACTTTCAGCAAAAGCTAGACTTTTCTGGAAGCCATACGTAGTTTCTTATTAGTAATTTCTAGTTTTCTTTCACCAGTGTTTAGTCTTCTATTAACAGTATTTATTCTTCTGCTAGCAATAGTTACTTTTGCAAACAGTATCTAGTGCTCTATTACCAATATATCCGCGGTATCCACTGTTTTGCAAACAGTATCTTATCTGCCATTAGCAATTTTTAGTTCTGTTTCAGCACTATCTAGTTTTTCACTAGCAATATTTAGTCTTCTACTAGCAGTAGAGTTTTTCATTATCAATATATCCTCTTTCAACAGTATCTAGTCCTCCACTAGCAGTATTTAGTTACGTCAACAGTATTTAATCTTCTGCCATCAGTAGCTAAACTTCTAGTCATATATTAGTACAAGATATTCTTCTGGAGGCAGTATATGGTCTTCCATTAACAATATTTAGTGCACAATCAGCAGTATCTGATCATCTATTAGCAGTATTTACTTCTTTATCAACATTATCTAATCTTCTGCCAATTATAAGATGACGAAAAGTAGGTGAAATGCGCTTGCAAGAGTTTTTAGTTAGAGTTTAGTTTTTAGTTAAAATTAGAGCTAACACTAGCACTAGAACTAACACTAAACCTAAAATCTTCTTTTAACACATTAGTGCATGAAGTTAAACAAAATTTTTTGTATTTTTCTTTAATTTTATGATCTATTATATAAAAAATGAATTTTTATTGGAAAAAAAATTTGCAAAACGTCACTTAAAAGGACACTATGCACTAATGGGATAAGACGGCTAGTGTCAGTTCACTAAACATATACAGTGTGTCCCCGGATAGGTGAAACGACTCTTATAAAAGAGAAATTTTTTTCGATATTAATTGTCATTTTTTGGGGTTTAGCCCTGCTTCATTAAAGACTAATTTTGAACATATTTTCAAGTTTTAAAAAACAAGTGAGCCTTGACAGTAAAAGAAAAACTTCTTTTGTGGCAGGTAAAGTACCTTTTCTGTTTACAGTACGTGAAAGTGTTACTAAGAAGTTTTATTCAGAATGAAAAACTATGGCCGTATGCAAATTTTCGGAATGATCGGCCTACTTTGAAAAAATCCATATCAAACAATTTTATTTCTAACAAAGACTGCCATGGAAAAACAAAATTGCTTTCCTGTCACTGTTAATCTGCCAAACTGTAATTTAGTGAACTTAAACTGTTTTTTAAATACAATGTTAACATTAGAGGAAAAAGTTTAGGTGGTTCAGTGTTATGGAACCGGGGAAAAACCGATAAATATGGTTATTGCTTTAGTTAGTGAAAATTTTCCAAATAGTGGAATTAAAAGTAGGACTTGTTGGGGTTCAATCAAAAGATTTCTTACAGTAGGAAGTATTCACTCTAAGAAAAAAAAATTCTGATGAAACTGATTAACTGTTAACTATGATTAACTGTTTTCTTTTGTGGGCGAACACACTCTTAATTTTTTGTGAACATTTTGAGAACGGTTTGTTTATTTTTCCCGAATAATCTGAATCTCAAAACAAAAAGTCGTAATAAGGTACTATTGACGAAAATAATAAACAATAGGTTTTATCAAAGTAGGCTAATGAAAATTTGCATATGGCCATAACTTTTCATTCTGAATACAATTTCTTAGTAATATTTTACCATACTGTAAACAGAAAAGGTACTTGACACACAAGAAGTTTTCGCTTCAGTGTCAACACTCACTTGTTTTTTTAAATTTAAAAATATGTTCAAAATTAGACTTTAACCAAACAAACAGAGCTGAACCCCAAAAGATGACAATTAATATCGAAAAAAAAATACATTTTATAAGAGTCGTTTCACCTATCCGGGAACACACTGTATAACAACCTAACGCTGAATAACAATTAAAACTAGAACTAACACTATACCTAGAACTAGAATCATTCGGGTTTAGCCGTCTTAAGAAACGTACGGCTAAATCCGAATGTATCTAGTTCTTGGTCTAATGTTAGTTCTAGTGACAGTGCAAGTGTGAAACTAGAACCAACACTAGAACTAGAACGTTTCGGATTTAGCCGTGCGTCTTCAGACCCGAATGTACCCGAATGTTAGTTCTAGTTTTAGATCGATAAAAATATACAGTAATTAGAGACTAGATCTAGAGCTAGAGAGTTTCGGGTTACATCATTATGTTAAACCATCATTGCTAAAAGACACAATATATGAAAATCGGTAGATTAAGTCATATATATTATAAGTGGACTATCTTTTATGTCGATAAGGTTGGCAACGCTGTTTGCGAGATTTAAATGTAAAAGGCGCCAGACGAATTAAATGAGATGAACCCTAACGGAGACTGTACGTTGATTTAATGGTGTTACTCAACTGTGTATTCATTGCGGTTTTGTATTCCAAATAGTTAATTTAGAGTCATTGACTGATGACTAAATAATAAGAGAAAAAGTAATTTCAAGAATAAATATTTTTAAAAGTCTTGTAAAACACAAAAGACACAAAAGCCTAAGAAAAACAAGATAAAAACCGTTTCTTTTCACCGGAACATAAATCACCATTAAGGTGGAACAGGTAAGAAGGTAAATTCAGAAAAAAAAAGAAATAAATAAGAAAATGTGTTGGGCCCAATACACAGACACACACACAGGGATTGGGCGACAAGGGAGCAGACGTGTGGCCGAGATAACTTCTTTTTCGGGGCCGCCGCCGCCACCGATATCGGCGACTCCTTATTCCCATATCGGACTGCGGGCTCACTCTCTTAAATCGCTGCCATATACGGAATGTTGACTTTACATATTGCGATACGACTTCGTACAGCATGTGGCGTACTTAAACTCTAACCTTTGCTTTTCCCCCTTCTCGCCACCTCCTTTACCAGTCTCCTCTCGCAACAACCCGTCACAGCCTTTCGTAGACACATCCAACTTTAAAATAAAATTGGAACAAGAAACAACATCTTTTTTGACGTTTTTCTTTCTTATTGAGACCTTCTTCATTCTCATACCAAAAGTGAGTCATAAAGAACTTCAGTTTATATCTCTAACAAAAACCAAATTTGTACAGAAACTGAGATGTGACGTACACTCTTGTTTTATCTACATCTTGGACGACACGACGACGTGAAACAAGGTTATAACGAGTACGGGTTGTGGTAGCCGGTTTTGGTGTAAATCATGCAATAAAATCTTGCAGTAGCGACTTCTAAACCGGCGGTGGAAAAAAAGACATCAAATTTTGTGGGGAAACGCGACCGGGAAAGAAGGGGGGTTTCGACGTGATGGCGTCTCGGGGATTGACGGCCACTTACGAACCCACCCAAAATGAAGATTAATCGCCGTTAAAACCTCACCTTGTTTGGCTGTACGTGCCAGCTTCTACGCTTTCCTTGCTTCTGAAGGGAATTGATGTCGTGGATATCCGTCAATTGGGGGGAGGGTTCTCTGCTTTGACCCGTGTCTTCGTATACTCCAGGAATTAAACGTAATCTATTTCCTGGGCAGATTCCCTAAAAATAAAATGAGATAAAGTTAATTACAAAAAGCTTATTATTACAATACAAGTTATTTACTCAACCGAGTTAATATTAAATATTGTACTGTTACATATTTGGCGACATCTAACAATTAAAAAAAAAATTAACTCGTTTTAAAAGCAATGAAAGGACATCTAGCGTTTAAATTATGCATTTGAGTTACGCTGTCATTACTTCTGTAATCTGAATAAGTGTTGAGATTGACACGCTGATTTCAGTCTACAACAAACCAGGATAAGTCGAATTAGACAATGATCGATCCATGGTCTTTACCCAGAGGGGGCCAACTGTTCTGGCAGAAGATCGAAAGTATTAGGATCCCACGTGTAAGTCCAGATTGTCAATCATTGCAAACAGAATGCTCCACTGTTTTACTGATACGTTCGTCCATCGTTTTTTGAACACCAGAACTTCTGAACGTCATTGAGACGAAGGATTTGACGATACCAAAGCAGCTCAACACACTTCAAAAGCTACTATCGGATCACAATCCCGTCCTAGTTCAATTTGGCGAAGCATTACCGACACAAAACGGCAGTTCTTAAGATCGTCTTATCATTAACATATATATACAGGGTGTCACACAAAAAAACGCCCCAAGCTGTAACTCTGTCATTTACATTCCGATTTTCATGAGCGGGTTATGAAATGAAATGGTTTCATGAATACTATGATTCATGCTACAAATAAATTTTTTCCAAGGCCGTCTTCAATTTTAAGCGATTATTAACTTTTGCTTTTCAAATTGGTCTATATATTTTTCTTTACGTCATTGGATAGAGATTGCTTTTCTGAATCCACTGATGTACAATACATCCATTTTGAATATAATTTTAGTAGAGAAAAGACACCTGTATATACAGGTTGCCACACAAGAACGCCGCTAGCTGTATCTCTGTCATTTACCTTCCAATTTTCATGACCTAGCTATCAAATGAAATGGTTTGATGAATACTATGATTCATGCTACAAATAAACTTTTTCCAACGCCATCTTCAATTTCTAGCGATTATCAACATTTGATTTTCAAATTGCTCGGTATGTTTTTCTTCACGCTATTGGATAGAGTTTTTTTTTCTGAATCCATTAATGTACAATACATCAACATTAATTGTAATTGTAGCATAGAAAAACATTAAAATAGTTTCTGAACATTCTCTTAAAGTCACTTGTGTTATACTGTAGTGTGCCATGGGATAAATGAAAAACCAACTTATAAGTATCATTTACAACTGCTTGGGCATTGAAATAGCATTTAATGACTGTTATCAGTTTTGCGTGTTATTTTTTTCCATGGCACACTGCAGTATTACAGAAGTGACTAAGACAATGTTCGGAAAATGTTTTAATTGTTTTTCTCTGCTAAAATTACAATTAATGTTAATGTATTGTACATCAATGGGCTCAGAAAACAATTTCTATCCCATAACGTGAAGAAAAACATACCGAGCAATTTGAAAATCAAAAGTTGATAATCGCTTGAAATCGAAGATGGCGTTGGAAAAAGTTTATTTGTAGCATGAATCATAGCATTCATCAAACCATTTCATTTGATACCTCGTTCATAAAAATCGGAAGTTAAATGACAGAGTTACAGCTTACGGCGTTCTTGTGCGACAACCTGTATATACAGGTGTCTTTTTTCTGCTAAAATTACATTCAAAGTGGATGTATTGCACATCAGTGGATTCAGAAAAACAATCTCTATCTAATGACGTGAAGAAAAATATATGGAGCAATTTGAAAAACAAAAGTTAATAATCGCTTAAAATTGAAGATGGCCTTGAAAAAAATTTATTTGTAGCATGAACCATAGTATTCATCAAACCATTTCATTTGATGCCTCGGTCATGAAAATCGGAATATAAATGACAGAGTTACAGTTTGGGGCGTTTTTTGTGTGACACCCTGTATAACAAGTAGTGGTGGAGCGGATAGTGATTTTGCGAAAAGCCGGATATTCGGCATCCCCTTCGGCCGGATATCCGCCATTATGGTTAAAATTGGACCGCGTTATACATCACTTGACTAAGCGACATTTTATCGTTTTTAGAAATTTTCATGCTGTCTGGTAGGTAAAGGTGTAACTTATCTTAGAAAAAATGCAGAACACCGAAAGACCTAAAATACCATTTGTCTTAAAGGATAAAGCTAAGCGCGATTTTTATTCGATTTCAAGTCCGATTTGCATCATACGTCTACGAAGCGACTTAGATACGACACTTAGATACACCAAGAAATTCTACAATAGAAAAAATAGATGAACCTATAATTTCGGGCCAGTGTCATTTTCTAGATGTTAGTATAAAATTAAAAGTTTATGTCTTATTTTATATAGAACTTAAGTCTAACTAGTTTCGGCCCTTGGCCATCTTCAGAGACTTTACAAATAGATTAACATCTCACATCTTATCCTTTTTACAAACGACAGCGGTAGATAGCGCTAGTTAGCATAAAATATCACATTGCATATTTTTATTGCATTAAAACTTGAACTAACACAAGACCTAGAAGGTCTAGTGTTAGTTCTAGTCTGAAGACGCACGGCCAAACCCGATACATTCAAGTTCTAGGTCTAGTGTTAGTTCTAGTTTTACCCTAGCACTAACACAAGACCTAGAACTAGAATCATTCGGATTTAGCCGTCTTGAGAGACATGGGACTAAATCCGAATGTTTCTAGTTCTCGGTCTAGTGTTAGTTCTAGTGGCAGTGGTAGGTAGCGCTAGTTAGCATAACATATTACTATGTTGTATATTTTTATTGAACTAAAACTAGAACGAAAACTAGAAACATTTGGGTTTAGTCGTGAAAAAAACTTTCAGTAGTCAATGTCAACTTTAATTTTATGATTATATTCGTAATCATCATAAAATCACCTTTAAGGTGAGTCCAAACATGACGCATTTATCTCAAAAAATCAAAAAGTTCGAACTTTCAACTTTTATTTTTGACATATTTGTCAACTTCATGAAAAATCTTTTAAAATGAGTCCAAACTTGACAAATTTAATTTTAATATTAATAGAAATACAATCATTTCCGGTTTGAAACGTCAACGTCAATTTTGACATATTTATCATCTTCATTAAAAAACCTTTAAAATGAATCCAAACATGACGCAATTATCTCAAAAAACAAAAAAGTTAGAATAAAAAACATTAAACCCGAAGTTAGCAACAATGAAGTTAGCAATTTAATTTTTAAATATTCATACCAACCTTAATTTTTTTTTTTTTATTATATTTTTATGACAAACATGAAGACATTTTATAAAAATTAAGAATATGTCAAAATGACATTGTCATTTCAAACCGGAAGTTGCTTATATCTCGAATAATATTGGAATTAAACGTATCATATTTGGACTCATTTTAAAGAATTTTTCACGACGATTACAAATATGTCAAAATTGACATTGACATTCTTAACCGGAAGTTGACCATAACATCATTAATATTGAAGATAAATATATCGTGTTTGTAGTCATTTTAAAGGATTTTTAATGACGATTACAAATATGTCAAAATTGAGGTTAACATTTTAAACCTGAAGTTAGTTACCATATAAGAGACAAATGGACAACTTCATGGTGTTCTTTCATTATGTATTATTTATTAGAAAAATCTTTAAAATGAGTCCAAAGATGACGCATTTATCTCAAAAAACAAAAAAGTTAGAATAAAAAAACATTAAACCCGAAGTTAGCAACAATGAAGATAGCAATTTAATTTTTAAATATTAATACCAACCTTAATTTTTTATTTTTTTTTTATTATACTTTTGTTTTTGTGACAAATATTAAGACATTTTATAAAATTAGGAATATGTCAAAATGACATTGACATTTCAAACCGGAAGTTGCTTATATCTCGAGTAATATTGGAATTAAACGTATCATGTTTGGACTCATTTTAAAGGATTTTTCACGACGATTACAAATATGTCAAAATTAACGTTGACATTCTTAACCGGAAGTTGACCATAACTTCATTAATATTGAAGATAAATATGTCGTGTTTGTACTCATTTTAAAGGATTTTTAATGAAGATTACAAATACGTCAAAATTGAGGTTGACATTTTAAACTTGAAGTTAGTTATGATATAATAGAAGTTTTATAACTGAAGTTAATCTAGTGTTAGTCACGGTTCCGCACTATCTTTTTATTTTTAGCGTGTTTTTTGGGTTATTTCAAATTGATTAAAAAAAAATCGATTTTTAAGCCATATGATGATTTTTGAATTTTTCCCAAGTTTCTTAATATTCCTTTTGTTAAAAAAGAGCGTTCTTAAATTTTAACCTGTAAACTTGTAACACTTTGACAGACTTTGATATGTGATCTTTTTTAACAAAAGAAAAAGAAATATTAAGAAACTTACTTGTATGTAAAATGGATAGGATGAGGGATGTTAATCTATTTGTAGAGTTTCTGAAGATGGCCAAGGGCCGAAACTAGTTAGATAGTTAAAAACAATTAAAAACCTTATAAATTGTGGCACTTCGCGTTGCAATACCAATTTGTGATATTGGTTGCATACTTTGTCGGGTACGATCATATACAGTGTGTCCCCGGATAGGTGAAACGACTCTTATAAAAGGTAAATTTTTTTCGATATTAATTGTCATTTTTTGGGGTTTAGCCCTGCTTGATTAAAGACTAAGTTTAAACATATTTTCAATTTTTTAAAAACAAGTGAGCCTTGACAGTAAAAGAAAAACTCTTTTTGTGGCAGGTAAAGTACCTTTTCTGTTTACAGTACGTGAAAGTGTTACTAAGAAGTTTTGTTCAGAATGAAAAACTATGGCCATATGCAAATTTTCGGATTGATCGGCCTACTTTGAAAAAATTCATATCAAACAATTTTATTTTTAACAAAGACTGCCATGGAAAAACAAAATTGCTTTCCTGTCACTGTTAATCTGTCAAACTGTAATTTAGTAAATTTAAAGTGTTTTACAAATACAATGTTAACATAAGAGGAAAAAGTTTACGTGATTCAGTGTTATGGAACCGGGGAAAACCCGATAAATGTGGTTATTGCTTTATTTAGTGAAAAATTTCCAAATACTGGAATTAAAAGAAGTACTTGTTGGCGTTTAATCAAAAGATTTCATACAGCAAGAAGTATTCACTCTAAGAAAAAAAATTATGATGAAACTGATTAACTGTTAGCTATAATTAACTGTTTTCTTTGTGGGCGAACACACACTTAATTTTTTGTGAACATTTTAAGAACGGTTTGTTTATTTTTTCCGAATAATCTTAACCTCAAAACAAAAAATCGTAATAAAGTACTATTGACGAAAATAATTAAAAATGGGTTTTATCAAAGTAGGCCGACGATTCCGAAAATTTGCATGTGGCCATAACTTTTCATTCTGAATAAAATTTCTGAGTAACATTTTACCATACTGTAAACAGAAAAGGTAGTTTACCGGATACACAAGAAGTTTACGCTTCAGTGTCAACAGTCACTTGTTTTTAAAAATTTGAAAATATGTTCTAAATTAGTTTTTAATCAAGCAGGGCTGAACCCCAAAAGATGACAGTTAATATCAAAAAAATTTTACATTTTATAAGAGTCGTTTCACCTATCCGGGGACACACTGTATATACTATCTCCTATATCGGTGACTCCCTATCTAAGCAATGAGTGGCGAGCGTTTCCATCAAAAGCAGACGGAATGATATATGTTTTATCTTACAATTAGTCGTGCCCCCATATCGCGAAGGCGCTTGCGCGAATCGTAAATTTTTAAGAGTTTGAAGTGTTTCGCGCGTATTTTATGCAGCTTTGAAATGCAATTATTGTAGATAGTTGACTTTAATTATAAATTATTGTAGATGCATCAAATAAATTAGAATATTTGTACTTTTGTGTGAAATTGACGTTGAATATTGCTTTAAATATCAACTTTATGTAGGTTGTTCATTAAACATTATATTCTTTACTTTTGTTTAGGCAACCCAAATAACAAACCAAATTTTATGTAACCATGACAATTTTGTCGATTTCAAATGTTATAAATAAAACAAGAAGCCATTATTGTATTAGATTTTAGGTTATGTTTATGTCAAACATTTATTTGGTGTTTTATAAACATCAAGGTCATCAGCTGCTATTAATTTTTAATTCACCGTCCAATAAGATAAAAGCGTACTCACCACGTGTTCACGCATGTCTCTTGTGTAGACGGGGGCACGACAGAGACAGATATATATATATCTGCACTCTAGTGTTTACACTCTTTTGCTGCCTTAGTCAGCGATATAGGAGATACCGAGAGATCAAAAAAGCCGGTCCGCTAAAAACTACTTTCCCAAGGGCTTGATACCAATACTTACTGTCCTCGTCACAGCCTCCTCCCATCTCTACTTGTTTTTAATTTTCAACGTTCTTATTGGTCGACGAGGTGATATCGATTTTTAGTTTCAATGGTTTCGATCAGCTGAGCTCAGAGCAGCTCAGAGTCGTGTTCTTGGTACGATAATTAATAAACACGCTGTAGAAGATTTAGATCTAAACCGCGTTTATTTGGCGTTAATTGAGTTTGATAATTTATTTAATAAACTTACAGCAGGGATTTTCAACGGAGGTTAAGGAACACTAATCCTATATTTAAATGTATTTATATATTTAAAACAAATTTCAAAACTTATGGGTAATTTCACACGGATAAGTTTCTCAACCTAAACTATCAATCAAACATGTTTTAAACTCTCAGTTATGCAATATAATGTAATATTTGTTATTCCATGCCGATTTGCTAGGCACTATAAATACTACTATCTTTTGTAAATAAACGTTTAGTATATGTTAGTTTGCGATTTAAGGGGAAATCACTTCTAATTTGATCATAAATCAAAACACTATTTGTATACTTGTTTTGTAGTGTCTCTATTATAACAAAGTTTTAGATTATCCTCATCTTCGTATTTGTTACTTTTTGATGTATTTGTAGTGTGATCTAATACTTGGAAAAACCACAAGAAAATAGAAATCCCAAATAAATCTTGTGTGGATAACAAATGTATACGAACCAACATTATCTTCTTTACACACATTATAGTATTTCTTAATGTGGTTAGAAATCCATTCAAACGTAACTGATCTAACATCATCATGTCGTCAAGTTTCTTATTTTCAAGCAAAACAAAAAAAATCTCTTCCTATTACAACTATTAAATTAAATAACATACAGTTAATTTAATCTTTAATGACCTTTTGCTAAATACTCATTTCAAATATTTTATCTATATTTCAAAGCCGCAATAACAAATTTTAATTACCTTTTAAAAACACTCCCATTCAATTAACTCAATCGAAGCTAAATATGTACATTTTTTTACATTAAAACATGATTCACAAACAAAAAAAAGTTACCGATTAGGCCACAAAGTTTATTTAGATTAGATCAATGTAAAAGACAAATATTTATGATAAACCAACATTTATTCCAATTATTTCTTTTTCCGAGTACTGATAAAAATTGTTATCGAAGTAAAGAAGCGGAAGTTAAAAAAAACGACCTATGTCACTCAAAAACTGAAAGAAGGGGGACTCTCTCAATGAGTTACGCGCTCTGTGTAACTTATAATCCTCTTCGACGGTCGTTCTATTTTTGGATCAACCGAGTTTATTCATAGCCTTTCGAAACGGACTTTGAAGTCCTCGACGTCTAAAGATCTTATGGAATGTCCGGTCAACGCGTTTTGTTGTGGGAGTAAAGATAACGCGTGGTCAAAGCGTGTGTTCCGACTGGCGCCAACTTTCGATTTAAAACAGATACGGGGACGAACTCGAACAATGCGGATAACGTAGATGGTAGCATTTTTACGGTTCGGAATTCGTCTTGACGTCACGGCCATTTTAAAATGTCGATGGCCTCAAAACATTCGAATAACAAAACAAACATGGAACTGTTTAATGCAACCAAATATTTTCATTTTTGAAAGGTTTATTTATTTATAACATAGTGCGTTGCCCAGCTATAACCGCGCGTATTAAATTGCGACCGATTCTTCACCCAAATCTAAACATCTGCCTTTCAAAACGTTCCTTTACATTCCTCGAATTCCTTTCAAACAACCGTGTGGATGGATAAACACGTGGTGTTAAAAGGTGTTAAGTTTGATGCAAAAAAAAATCTTTACCTGTCTTCCTCTCAAAGAACACAACCACCACCCTTCAATGTTATTGGTGTTTTGTTCAAGAACCACTAAGATATCTCCTTTCCGAAACGCCAATTCATCCGGGGAATCTGCTATATTATCATATTGAGCTCTTGCTAACAAGTTCTGAAAATAAAAAAAGTTATTAATTTAGACCTGAGGGTGACTCAACCCCTAGAATTTAATAAAAACCCCCCCTATAGCACATTGTGACTCACACAATAGAACTATTGTATATTGTTAAGTTAAAAGCACGTGCCCCTTTTAATTTTACCAACTGTCAATAACAAAAAAAAAGGACTTTATGGTTGTTAACACAACTTATCTCAACTTGTTTTTATTTTTTTTGCTAGAAAAGAGTCATATGGTAACAAATTTTTCAAAGAACAGCCCACGTATACCAGGAAAGAACAAGAATGACTCACTACACGGCCTGGTTATTGTTTTTTTCTGGAAGCGCTCGATTGGATGAATGAGCGGAACGAATTCCACACATACACCATGTGGGGGGTTCTCACTTCTTTTTAATCGTTGAATTAAATTTGTACAACATCGGTGTCGGTAACTCACCGAGACAATGGGAGTTGTTTTGTTGCACTTATAGTTTTATCTTGTTTAAATGTTCGCTTGGGTTCGTTGTGTTTTCAGTTCAATAATCGTCGTCAAGGATGTTATATAATTACGTATGGTGAACAATAGTGTTTTTATTTGACATCGATGTCGTATCGAGCTATAAATAAAAATCGCATTGTTTTGCCAACTTATACTAAATGTTATTAAACAACGCGTTGCTTAATAAGTGGGTATTGATTTCTTTTCGTTTATGGTCAAGGACTTTTATTTTTTTTAAAATAAATATAATACCATCTTTGTATTTTTAATTGAATACAATTGTTCAAAATAATTGAGAGCCATTATGACTCCTTTCAAGGAGGAGAAAGAACTAAAGTTAGTTGTCTACTAGTCAGTCTAGTGACAGTGGTAGTTAGCATAAGATATCACTATGTTGCATATTTTTATTGCACTAAAACTAGAACTAACACTAGACCTAGAACTAGAAACATTCGGGTTTAGCCGTGCGTCTGAAGACGCACGGCTAAACCCGATACTTTCTAGTTCTAGGTCTAGTGTTAGTTCTAGTTTTACACTAGCACTATTACCAGAACTAACACAAGACCTACAACTAGAATCATTCGGGTTTAGCCGTCTTGAGAGACGTGCAACTAAACCCGAATGTTTCTAGTTCTCGGTCTAGCGTTAGTTCTAGTGGCAGCGGTAGGTAGTGCTAGTTAGCATAAGATATTACAATGCTGTATACAGGGTGATTCAAAAAACCGGTGACATACTTCTAGAGTAGATAATACATGAAAAATTAAGATGAATAGTTAATTATTAAAAATTTAATTAAAAGTTTCTTTAAAATTAAACATTATCTGCTATAAAAAGCACTTTTTTAAAAATATTGTCTACGCCATTGCTCTCTACGCGTGTAAAGTGATCAATTATCTATCAATTGGTTTCTTGCAAAACTTTGATGAAAGCAATAGTTTTTAAGAAAAACACGTTTGTAAAAAATTTGTTAATTCAATCAAAAACTGTTGCTTTAATCAAAGTTTTGTAAGAGACCAATTGATAGATAATTGATCACTTTACACGAAAATACTGCCCGTTTGACAAAATTAGCAGTGGAGTTGAAAATATTTTTAAAAAGGGGTTTTTATTGCAGATGACATTTGCGACCCCATGTATATTAAGACTTTTCGTCTTAATTTTTGATGTATTACCTGCCCTAGAAGCTTACAGCGGTTTTATGAATCACCCTGTATTTTTATTGAACTAAAACTAGAAACATTCGGATTTAGTCGTAAAAAAAACTTTCAGTTGTCAATGTCAACTTTAATTTTATTATATTCGTAATCTTCATAAAATAACCTTTAAAGTGAGTCCAAACTTGACGCATTTATCTCAAAATACCAAAAAGTTCGAACTTTCAACTTTTAATTTTGACATATTTGTCAACTTCATAAAAAATCCTTTAAAATGAGTCCAAACTCGACACATTTAACTTTAATATTAATGGAAATAAAATCACTTCCGGTTTGAAACGTCAACGTCAATTTTGACATATTTGTAATCTTCATTAAGAAACCTTTAAAATGAGTCCAAACATGACGCACTTATCTCAAAACACAAAAAAGTTACACTAAAAAAACATTAAACCCGAAGTTAGCAACAATAAAGATAGCAATTTAATTTTTAATATTAATACCAACCTTAATTTTATTTTTTTTTTATTATATTTTTGTTTTTGTGACAAATATGAAGACATTTTATAAAAATTAAGAACATATCAAAATGACATTGACTTTTCAAACCGGAAGTTGTTTATATCTCGAGTAATATTGCAATTAAATGTATCATGTTTGGACTCATTTTAAAGGATTTTTCATGACGATTACAAATATGTCAAAATTGACGTTGACATTCTTAACCGGAAGTTGACCATAACCTCATTAATATTGAAGATAAATATGTCGTGTTTGTACTCATTTTAAAGGATTTTTAATGAAGATTACAAATATGTCAAAATTGAGGTTGACATTTTAAACCTGAAGTTAGTTATCATATAATAGACAAATGGACAACTTCATGGTGTTCTTTCATGATGTATTCTTTATTAAAAAAACCTTTAAAATGAGTCCAAACATGACGCACTTATCTCAAAAAACAAAAAAGTTAGAATAAAAAACATTAAACCCGAAGTTAGCAACAATGAAGATAGCAATTTAATTTTTAAATATTAATACCAACCTTAATTTTTGATTTTTTTTTTTTATATTTTTGTTTTTGTGACAAATATTAAGACATTTTATAAAAATTAAGAATATGTCAAAATGACATTGACATTTCAAACCGGAAGTTGCTTATATCTCGAGTAATATTGGAATTAAACGTATCATGTTTGGACTCATTTTAAAGGATTTTTCACGACGATTACAAATATGTCAAAATTGACGTTGACATTCTTAACCGGAAGTTGACCATAACTTCATTAATATTGAAGATAAATATGTCGTGTTTGTACTCATTTTAAAGGATTTTTAATGAAGATTACAAATACGTCAAAATTGAGGTTGACATTTTAAACTTGAAGTTAGTTATGATATAATAGAAGTTTTATAACTGAAGTTAATCTAGTGTTAGTCACTTTTCCGCACTTTCTTTTTATTTTTAAGCCACATGATGATTCTTGACTTTTTCCCAAGTTTCTTTATATTTCTTTTGTTAAAAAAGAGCGTTCTTAAATTTTAACCTGTAAACTTGTAACACTTCGTCCTTAATTTCATTTTACAACTTTTTAAACTTTAATTTTGTAAATTAGTAACTAATAATCTGATTTCGACTTTGATGTGTGATCCTTTTTAACAAAACAAAAAGAAATATTAAGAAACTTGTTTATAAAATGGATAAGATGGGAGATGTTAATCTATTTGTAGAGCCTCTGAAGATGGCCAAGGGCCAGTTTTTACACGTATCGTCATCATTTTGTCTCTAGTTTTAGTCATTAAATTTATGCCACGATTTGCAAAAACATTCTGAATCGTAAAACGTAACGAGTGACCAAGCGGCTTCTGTGCTTGTGATAGCTGTCATCAGTGTTCTGTGAAAAAATGGACAGGCACCAAACAATTGTGGTAAGGAGCGTGTGATTATGGTATATTTTTATTGAACGAAAAGTAGAACTAACACTAGAAAAAACTATCCAATGTTCAAAATATGTGGGACAGTGCGAGTTATATGAGATTCCCGGTATATATACTCAGAAGTATCAGGATGTCTTAAATCCACTAATCTTCACTGGCTCCCAACGCTAAGCAATATCCCCCGCCAAAGCTGGCAGAAAATAATTTTCTTCTAGAAGAGTTCAAAAAAATAACTGACAACCCAACCCACTGCTACTGATTTATGAGGACCAACTTTATCTTGATATGAATCGTCCGAGATTCTGATACCCTCCAATAAATGTTGCTGAGGAATTGGCTACAAACTACAACATCAACTTTGAGTGGGAAAAGACCTATGGAAGGGACTCAACATAGTACGCACGGAACATGGAGTCTGTGGTCTCAGTGTAAATTGTGGGGAACTGCTCTATTATCTCTTATCCTAACGCTGTGAGGAACTTCTTTGATACTTATAGCTTTTGAATCACTAGCCAAATTGGATGTAAAATTTTAGACTTAGGTTATATTTCCTATAGACTATTCGTTGTTTGTAAATTTTATCTACAAAGCTTCCAATTCGTCCATAACGATGTTTGTGAATAATGAACAAATCACGATAAAATGATGTATAAAAAAACTTAATTATATAACGACCACAAAACAAAACTTTTTCAAAAACCGGTCCTCACCATTTGGGAGATAATGAAAGAGTCAAAGGGCTATTATTAGAAAAGTTAAGAGGTACCTTTTAAGACGTGTTTTACGGAAGGGGCCGTTTAAAATACATTTAAACAAGAATTTTAAGTGTAAAGATTTTAAACGCAAAGAAGAGAAGAAGCAAAAAAAAAATGATGAGTAAACGCAAGATACAGTCTCGACAAATAAAATTATCCTCGATACATGTGTTTGAACTTCACGTGTTTGCCCTGATAATCCAACGTCAACGTGCGGATTCGGTTCATTTAGTTGATCCATTAATATGGATATCGCTATTATTTCCGACAGATTCAATGCGTTCGTAAAGATATATGACTTGGGATAGGAACTCATGAATACTAATAACTATTAGGTCAGTTGCAATTATTACTACAAAGCTATAAATTACATTAACGGTTATAATTGGTTCAAGATACAAAAATAAATAAAAAGAAATAATGATTTACGATTTTTTTTGGGGCCTAAAAAGAATTGGTAATCTCGACTCTGTTTGAATTGGATGACCGCCGAGTGAGTTCGAGGGCAATTTCAATCAGCCCTCGTTACGATTAATTGCGATTTATCTGCGTTCGCTTTATCAGGGCAACGAGTAAAATCGCCGAATTTATACTTTGAACTCCACTTTAATCTGGCGGAACATCTGACGATTCGGTGTAATACCCGGTGTGGTTCGAAAACGTTCGT